GTAAATAACTTTCCTTCAAGACGAAAAAAGTGTCTGATGATAAGATTTCTTACCTTTATCACACAGGGCAATCAGTACGCAAGGAGGATGGGAATAAAAACAAAGATAAAAGATATGAATTGAAGTTGTACCTTTCTGATGCAAATTCACTATAATGTAGCCCGATTTATTTTACAATTATATGAACAATCATGAGCATTCCTCAATATTCTCTCTCTCTCTCTTTCTCTCTCTGTCTCTCTCTCTCTCTCACACACACACATATATGTGTGTGTTTGTTTGTCTGTGTGTGCGTATGTATGTATGTATGTGTACAGACACACACGCACACACATATCTATCTATCTATCTATATATATATATATATATATATATATATATATATGTGATATCTTCTTGTGCTCTGTACTACGCCATTCCTTTATGGCATCTATCTTTTCTCTATAAACACTATTTTCTGTTAATTCATTTACCATACCCATTTTTTACGCATGCCATAAACACAAGGGAGACGCTATCTCTGGAAGGGTTGCCCACCGAGGCAACCCTTCCGAGGCGTCTCCTCGACCCTTATTTCTACTTATCCCATAGATAGTAGGTTGCATACACACACACACACACACACACACACACATATATATATATATCTAAATAAATAAATAAATATATACATATATATATATATATATATATATATATATATATATATATACACATATATATATGTATATCTATCTATCTATCTATACATATATATATGTATATATGTATATGCGCATGCAGCTCCCGCTCCCGAGGGCGAGGGCTTGAGGTCGCGAGTGACGATGGTGTCCCTCCGGGCGGATTCAGGAGCCGTATTCGAGGGCGCACAGTTCGGGTTATATGGCAGTGCCACCGTTGCCTGATTGGATGCCCTTCCTAATCAACCGCGGTTCGGCGCGGTAACACTTGTGCCACAGCGGTGACTTCCCCTACGACACCTGCGTTTGACTTCTGAAGGCGATATGTCGTTTTCTCGGGCTCGAGCCAGCAGTCAGAGCGCAGGCATTTTTACGACTGCCGCGACGGGGAACTGAACCCGGGACCACAAGGGTCGGAGTCCAATGCTCTAACCACTGGACCATCGCGACAGTCATATATATATATATATATATATGTGTGTGTGTGTGTGTGTGTGTGTGTGTGTGTGTGTGCGTGTATATATATATATGCATATATATATATATATATATATATATATATATATATATATATATACATATGTGTGTGTATGTGTGTGCATGTGTGTGTGTGCGTGTATATATAAATGCATATATATATATATATATATATATATATATATATATATATATATATATATATATATATATATGTGTGCGTGTGTGTGTGTGTGTGTGTGTGTGGTGTGTGTGTGTGTGTGTGTGTGTGCGTGTGTGTGTGCGTGTGTGGTGTGTGTGTGTGTGTGTGCGTGTGTGTGTGTGTATGTGTGTGTGTGTGTGTGTATGTGTGTGTGTGTGTGTGTGTGTGTGCGTGTGGGTGAGTCGGTTTGTGTGTGTGTATGTATGCACACACCACTATCACTAAAATAGACTGAATCATTCTACTGAGGGATGCAAGCTTCTCCCAGTCTTTACTGCCCACTGCCATTTCTTCCTTTTAACGTGCGTACATTTTTCTTTTCTAAACGATATATCAATGTTAAGATCATATTCTGATAACTGTAGTTGCTTGATATGAAAAAGACTATAATGGAAGCGACTGACATTCCAATTGCCATTACTTTGTGATGTTGGCACTGTGCTCTCTTTAAAATCCAGCAACTTCTGGGACCTCTCTAGCAAGTGAACTATGAGCATGTTTTTGTCTCCCTCTTTTTTTATTTATCTATATTTTTTACTGTTGTAGTTGATAAAAGATGTGTATAAACACATGTTCCACTTCGTGAAATATTAGATACATTTAAACGCATACAGTAGAGAGTAGCTGCAAGAGGGCTAGTCAGTAAATGTCACAGTGAAAAGGAATATACTTGATATATCATTGCACTCTCATATTTATAATGAATATGCTGCTCTTCCCCTGTCATTGAGGAAGAACTTATAGTAACTGTCAACATGGCCGGAGTGGCGAAGGTATCCCGTGTTCAAGCTCTCTCTCTCTCGCTCTCTCTCTGCTTCTGTCTGTCTGTCTGTCTCTTTCTATCTGTCTGTCTGTCCTTTTCTATCTGTCTGTCTGTCTCTTTCTATCTGTCTGTCTATCTCTTTCTATCTGTCTGTTTTTCTGTCTGTCTGTCTGTCTATCTTTCTATCTGTCTGTTTGTCTGTCTGTCTGTCTGTCTCTTTCTATCTGTCTGTCTGTCTCTTTCTATCTGTCTGTCTGTCTCTTTCTATCTGTCTGTCTATCTCTTTCTATCTGTCTGTTTTTCTGTCTGTCTGTCTGTCTGTCTGTCTATCTTTCTATCTGTCTGTTTGTCTGTCTGTCTGTCTGTCTCTGCCTGTCT